ACCCCAGATGGGGTCCTTTTTAAATTTTTTTTATATTTCCCTTTTTTTAAAAAAAATTTTACAAAAAAAAAAAAAAAAAAACCTAGTCAATTTGTGATTTAACAGAAATCAGGTATTGTCTATGGAACCTACCAACAGGAAAAAAACAAAACCAAAAAAACCCTTACTAAAAATAAAATGCTGGCTTCCTAGAGGGCACCAGTAGTCTGTATGGCTGCTGCGGTCTGCCAGTAGGGAAGGGGGGCTGCTGGTATAAACGGGGGCAGCCAAGATGGCTGCCACCCCTGGCCCTCACTGCTGATTGGCTGGGATGACTCCTGTTGTGTGGCCTGCCCCTCTCCAGCACTTAGTAGCGAGGGATGGAGCCACATGACAGACAGTCTTCTCAACCAGTTGGGGGTGAGGAGCAGGTCTGTAGGACAGACATCACTCTCAACCAATCAGCAGCAAGGGGTAGGAACACCAGGGCCCTTCAGCCAATCGGGGGCAGGGGAGGAGAACCATGATAAGCCCACAACAAATGACAGTGCTGCCTGTCTCCTCAGTGTCGGTAGGCCATGTGTTTTATAGTCATGCATTTAATCATCTTTGTAATTAATTTCCATTACTGAACCTATGCTGCTTTTGGCAGTTTAATGATAGTCTGGACAGTTTATTTAATGAGGTTTCCTTTTATGTGAGTGTGAGATGAGGGTTTTTTTCCCCATGCTGATTGGTGGTGGGGGAACCTTGTCTTGGTATATCATATCACTGGCTCTCAGTCTTTTAAGACTCAAGGCATCCCTCAGAATAATGCCAGCTCTTGGTTTTCACTCATTTTTGGCTACAGAAAAATACTAGAGCAATTCTACTGTTGCAAAGAACTCAGAAAGACCACAACAGGTCAAAATGTCTTTAAAGCTATGGAATTTCTGGGTTTCTCCTGTGAATCATGCTTGCTAAGAGAGCGTAAAAGTCACATCACCATGGCTGAGAATCACTGAATTGCACATTATGTGAAAAAATATTTCCTTCCTGATGAATGTTTGGAGTTCAAGTGTTCCTCCTTTTTGTGTTATGAGACCTAAGTTCCTGATCTACCTCTCTGCACAATTCATTACATTGTATACTTTTATCATCCCTTTTTTATCTCCTTTCAAAAATAAAACAATCCCAATTTATTTACTTTCCCTGCATATGAGATTTTCCAAGTCTTTAATCATTTGATTGTCTTTGTCTAACCCCCTCTATTTCTACATCAAACTGAAAGTGTGTGAAAACCAAAATGGTGACTTAGATGAACGGTTTCATTATATTCTTGGAATACCAACAATATTCACATTATTCCTAAACCCATAACACATTGTTCATAATGTTTGTGGTTGCCTTAGCTCACAAATGTAGCTAGCAATTTATTTAAAGAAAAGTTTAGTTTTGCAGCTCTAGTGTCATCAAAAAAATAGGAACAAAATGTTTAGGGGTGCACCAATAGAGATTGTTTGGGCCGACACCAATAGTTGATTTTTAATGAGCCATATTGACTTATACCAATCCAATTACTAATATGCAGCTGGGCAGTGTGGAGAACAGTTGGGGCTGGCTAGTAAGTCTGTTGTGGTGGAAGGGGTACAGGGAGAGAAGGGGCATGGTGCCAGGGGCAGATCGAGGCCCCTGCAGTGGAGGGAAGGAGTGGGGCTGAGGCTGGGGCAAGGGCAGGGGCAGGCGCTACCTAGCCATGGCAGGTTGGGGCATGGGACAGAGACACAAGAGGCTCATCCAGGTGGCATGGGGAGGTGGGGTGCAGTTCCCACTGCTATGTGCACCCAGAAGGGCATGAGGGGGGGCATGTGCCCCTGGAACTGTGCCTGAAGCGAGCTGCCGCTGTGGGCTGGGGCTCTTCCTGATGGAGCACTAGGCTGCGGTGCTGAGAGGCGGCTATGGGGGTGGGCTGCAGCCACCCCAAAATTCACCATAGTCCCCCCAACCTCCCTCCTCAGTGCTGCTGCCACCCACCCTGAGCGCAGACCTGGCACAAGCCCCCATGCCCTCCCACCCGTGCCCCCTAGAAGAGCCGGTCACAGCTCCATCCTGCACCCTGCCCTGGCCAGGCAGCGCCTACTGCAGCCCTGGCCCCAGCCCCACTGCCTCCCTCACCACAGGGGCCTTGATCTGCCTCCCCCATCGTTCCCCCACAACAGACTTATCAGCTGGACCTGGCTGTTCTCCACACTTCTGCGCTGCGCTCCTCATTGCCTGCGTTCTGCACTGTGGCTGCACACGTGCACGGAGCATTTATCAGTCACATTATCGGCCACATCAGTCAAAAAAAGCCAATTGCTGATACTGTCATTTTTTCTTATTTTGGTGCCAATCTGATATGGGACCAATTTATCGGAGCACCTCTTAAAAAAAAAAAAAAAAAAAGTATTTGTGTGGTTTTAACTCTTTACAGGCCTTTTTAATAATGTATGACAGACCCACAGCTCCATAGCTGTGAACCACAGAAACTTTTTCATATTTGCTTTTCAAGAGAAAGTGAAATAGTCACCTTGAAAGGAAGACAATTCTTCCTGATTTAAAGAATACATTTCCAATGTACCTATCTTCCAAATGAATTAAAGTATCCATCCACAGTCTGGAAAAAATTACAGCCATTCATCAGTGAATATTTTTGAACTTCCCAAAAAACTTGCTTTGTGTACACTGGCTCTCTGTGTGTATACTTCTCATGCATATTCTTGCCAATAAGTTTACCAACAGGCAGGTTAACTGAAACCATATCTTTTTGGTTCATAACTGCAAACAATCCCAGTAGAAACCCATTTCTTAGTTTCATGAAGTCAAATATGAAACTAACATATGCTATGTAATTTGTGTTTCCAAACATACTTCCTATATGCTTCTAAGAAGGTCTCTATGCACCACAACCCTGGCATAGAAAGTATGGATACAAACTGCTATTCTAGCTTGTATCTCCCATTAATAACTCACCATAGATTAATGAATAAATAATTTACTCAGCTGTAACTAACCCAATCAAAAATAAAAATTACAATGTGCCTACCTAGACCCCAAACTGGCAACATTCAGAATGTTAATCTGCATTTATTTCATGAGAAGCAAAAATACAATCAAGTACTGAACAAGGCAGATGGCAAATGGAGATTGCATATTCCCAGAGTTTTACACAGAAAGTGACAATTTGTACTGAATATCCTTTACCTTAAAGAATTTTTCCCACCAATAATCCGTTTCTGTCGGCGATGTAGTAATCTCAGCCCACAGACAGAAGCAAGGGAATCTAAACAGGAAATAAGGTGTAAGCAGCAGTACACTGTCACATAAACACCATGTGGGGTTTGGAAAAGAAAGAAAAATGCCCTCTAATTTCTCTGTTTAATAAGGATGCGGTTTTGTAAGGGCGCTAAATGCCATCATCATCCAATAATCTCAGTAAAAGTGAAGTGTGCTCAGGCCATACCTTGTAGGATCACACACAAAATTAAAATGATTATTCTCTTTTGAGAATGACTTCTTTGCCTCCATTTTCCTGAGCAGAGACCAGATCAATGCCCCCACTGGGCCCCCCTCAGGCCCCAGGGGAGGCGTACCTAGGCCAAGGGTTAGTGAGGATCTAGTCAGGGAATTTCTGGAGGGACTGGATGTATTTAAATCAGCTGGTCCAGACGATCTCCACCCCAGAGTGCTGAGGGAATTAGCTGGGACCCCTTGCACAGCTTTACGAGCACTTGTGGTGCTCTGGTGAGGTGCCAGAGGACTGGAAGAGGGCCAATGTGGTTCCCATCTTCAAAAAAGGGAGGAAGGAGGACCTGGGAAACTATAGGCCAGTTAGTCATACCTCAATCCTGGGTAAGCTTTTTGAGAGAATTATTCTGGCACATGTCCACGAGGGGCCAGCAGGGGAAGTTATGCTTAGGGGCAACCAATATGGGTTCATTAGAGGCAGGTCCTGTCAGACCAACCTGGTGGCCTTCTACGACCACGTCACCAAATCCTTAGATGCAGGGGTAGCAGTGGACATAGTCTTTCTGGACTTTCGGAAGACCTTCGACACTG